CCTACCCTCTCTCAGATTTTCCCTTGTTGATAGTTTTAGTCGCAATGAGATTCGGAGCAAACATCATATGAAAAAATGATGTTTGTTCACTTCAGTTTGGTATGTCTAAGGTCGCCGCAGTTTATCGCAGCGGAGAGTGTAGGAGAACTGTGAATCGGTGGAAGGCAAAGCAACACTGGTTTACCGAACACGGATGAAGGAACAGCTGCAATAATACCGCTGGTCACGTGACATCGCCGTATGGTTAAGTCCAGCCATGAATGTGTTTGGTCAGACGATATTCACCCATTACTGCGTCCATCTCCAGGTTACGGGCCGCTCGTCTTCCAGAGAGAGACACTCGACCGCCTAGCGTGATCGCACCAGCGTAATGTTCTAGCCTAGCCAACCCAGCAGTTGGACAGGCGGCGATTTGTTTCTGGAAACTCTTAAGTAGATTGGGCGGTTTACCGCTGGCTATCAGGAGAGTTTTCGAAGGCATGATAAATTTTCTAGAGGTTGCTGTATTATGCTAAATGTTAAAATTCTATCGTGGATTTCGACCGGTAACTGGCATAACTTACCGTCCCTGCAACAATGGGGCGTAACGATGTGGAGCGCAGAGAAACACCGGTTTGTGGACCTTGAACATTCGCTCCTCGAGCGTAAATTACAGCATGAAGACCAGATTTTGTTCACCTTGGTCATCTCACAAACTGGTTTGGATGTGTGGCGGAAATCACCAAACAAGAAGAACAGAGTATTCTTGCCGTTTTAACATGAATGCTGATTGTAGCTAGGTCCAGCTGCTGCTCTTCCAAACGTCAGTTGAGGCAATCGTTCATCAGTTACCCCACCCACCCCCCGATTTCGTTTCGAACCGCTACATTGCAACTGAATTCTGTCAGCAGTTTTCTATCTCTCTCCCTCTCTTTAGCAGATGTTCGTGTCAGATAAGACCTCCGGTTAGACTTTGCCAGGCTGATAAGGAAATCTGACCAGATGGTGGATCGTATCGATGAACAAAAACAAAATAATCGAATTCAGCTGAAATGTCCTGCCACGATAACCTCTTTTTCTTGTCTATTTTTGCCCACTAATCACAATAAAGGGTGGAACAACTCGCAGTTTTCTCAGTTGGGATTCGATTTCGTTCAATCGGGAAAACGTACTGCGTAAGGAGAGGCATCAATGTCGAAAANTGATGAGCCTCAAGAAGGGCGAAACCTGTAGTGGACTGTCCAGGACTGTGACTGATGATCACGTGAATGGTGATGAAAAAGGATGATAATTCAACTAGGGTTAACCAATCCACTTATCGGTGGTGCGATTGGACTGGGTGCGGATTGAAAGGCAGAACCGGTCCTGCGATACAAAGGCCTACCCTCTCCCAGATTTTCCCTTGTTGATAGTTTTAGTCGCAGTGAGATTCGGAGCAAACATCATATGAAAAAATGATATATTTGTTCACTTCAGTTCGGTATGTCTAAGGTCGCCGCAGTTTATCGCAGCGGAGAGTGTAGGAGAACTGTGAATCGGTGGAAGGCAAAGCAACACTGGTTTACCGAACACGGATGAAGGAACAGCTGCAATAATACCGCTGGTCACGTGACATTGCCGTATGGTTAAGTCCAGCCATGAATGTGTTTGGTCAGACGATATTCACCCATTACTGCGTCCATCTCCAGGTTACGGGCCGCTCGTCTTCCAGAGATAGACACTCGACCGCCTAGCGTGATC